CTCGTGCACAGGAGACTATATATTCATTTATAACAGCACAAAAATACTCAACCCCTGTCAATTTGGATTCAGGAAAAAAAAAGCACTAATGATGCAATCATAAAAATGCTAGATCTGCTTTACACAGCATTGGAAAATAAGGAATATCCACTAGGAATTTTTATTGACCTAAGAAAAGCTTTTGACACAGTAGACCACGGCATCCTACTCCGCAAACTTGACCATTATGGTATAAGAGGCCATGCGCTTGCATATTTCAAATCTTACCTTACTAATAGGTATCAGTATGTCACCATTAAAGACACAGCATCAACAACACAGCCACTTGATACTGGAGTTCCGCAGGGAAGTGTTCTTGGTCCCCTGCTCTTCCTCATATACATCAATGATCTTCCAAACGTATCTCAACACCTGAACCCCATTCTCTTTGCTGACGACACGACTTATGTCATCTCTCACCCTAATCTTGCCACCCTCAACACCATTGTTAATGAGGAGCTGATCAAAATATCGACTTGGATGACAGCCAATAAACTTAGGCTTAACGCTGACAAAACCTACTACATTATGTTTGGTAGCAGAGCAGGAGATGCGCAAATTAACATTAAGATCGACAACACTCTAATTGCCAGGCACAATGAGGGCAAATTCCTAGGCCTATACCTCGACAACAACCTGAACTTCAGCACCTATATCCAACACATAACCAAAAAAGTATCCAAAACGGTTGGGATCCTCTCCAAGATATGATACTACGTGCCGCAAACTGCCCTTCTCACACTATACCATTCACTTATATATCCATACCTCACCTATGCTATCTGTGCTTGGGGTTCAACTGCAGCAACACGCCTAAAGCCAATAATCACCCAACAAAAAGCCGCAGTAAGAATAATCACTAAATTACATCCCTGGCAACACACCCCCCCACTCTTCATAGATCTAAACTTACTCCCTGTTCAGTACATCCACACTTACTACTGTGCAATCTACATCTACAGGACCTTAAATTCCAATATTAACCCTGACCTAAAACGCTTTCTTGATAGTTGTGACAGAACCCACAGGCACAACACCAGACACAAACGTCTCTTATGACATTCCCCGTGTCCGACTAAACCTTTACAAAAATTCAATGTATGTCAAAGGCCCTAAAATCTGGAACACCCTACCTGAAAATTCTAAAACTGCAGACTCATTCATCACCTTCAAAACTACCATCAGAAAACATCTTATCTCCCTGATACACCCTGTCAACTAATTATACGAATACCACCTGGTGGTTCACACTTACACTCGCTCACCCATTTGACCATAAACAGAAATATCAACCTCAATCTCAAAATAATGAATCTTAACTAGTCATAAGTTGGCCTGTGATACTCCAATACTGAAACTATGTATAGTGCCAAAACAAAAGCATTCACATTGCTAAACTCACAAACTAGTATTTAGTCACTTAGCCATAATACCAACTTACCTCATAATTTTGTAATACAGTGGACCCCCGGTTAACGATATTTTTTCACTCCAGAAGTATGTTCAGGTGCCAGTACTGACCGAATTTGTTCCCATAAGGAATATTGTGAAGTAGATTAGTCCATTTCAGACCCCCAAACATACACGTACAAACACACTTACATAAATACACTTACATAATTGGTCGCATTCAGAGGTGATCGTTATGCAGGGGTCCACTGTATTTTAAACTTAAGATTTAATCTAAGTCTGCCCGAAATGCCTAGCCATGCTAGGTGTTCTAGTGGTACACTTTGTAATTATTATTTAACTACATGTAAACCACACAATAACCAAATTCTGTAAACTCAGCATTGTAATCCTTATAGAGAATAAACTTTGAATTTGAATTAAATCTGGAGTATCTGAGAGAGTTAGAGCTAAGGAAGGGGTAGCAGTAATGTTGAAGGATCAGTTATGGAAGGAGAAAAGAGAATATGAATGTGTAAATTCAAGGATTATGTGGATTAAAGTAAAAGTTGGATGCGAAAATTGGGTCATGATAAGCGTGTATGCACCTGGAGAAGAGAGGAATGTAGAGGAGAGAGAGAGATTTTGAGAGATGTTAAGTGAATGTATAGGAACCTTTGAACCAAGTGAGAGAGTAATTGTGGTAGGGGACCTGAATGCTAAAGTAGGAGAAACTTTTAGAGAGGGTGTGGTAGGTAAGTTTGGGGTGCCAGGTGTAAATGATAATGGGAGCTCTTTGATTGAACTTTGTATTGAAAGGGGTTTAGCTATAGGTAATATGTATTTTAAGAAAAAGAGGATAAATAAGTATACAAGATATGATGTAGGGCGAAATGACAGTAGTTTGTTGGATTATGTATTGGTAGATAAAAGACTGTTGAGTAGACTTCAGGATGTACATGTTTATAGAGGGGCCACAGATATATCAGATCACTTTTTAGTTGTAGCTACACTGAGAGTAAAAGGTAGATGGGATACAAGGAGAATAGAAGCGTCAGGGAAGAGAGAGGTGAAGGTTTATAAACTAAAAGAGGAGGCAGTTGGGGTAAGATATAAACAGCTATTGGAGGATAGGTGGGCTAATGAGAGCATAGGCAATGGGGTCGAAGAGGTATGGGGTAGGTTTAAAGATGTAGTGTTAGTGTTCAGCAGAAGTTTTTGGTTACAGGAAAGTGGGTGTGGGAGGGAAGAGGAGCGATTGGTGGAATGATGATGTAAAGAGAAAAAAGTTAGCATATGAGAAGTTTTGCGAGGCAAGGCGCTGTCACCATGCCTGTTATAAATGACTGTAATTCCTTTTAGAAACATCGTACAAGGATAATAATTATACCAGAGTGTAGCCAGAAAGTTCAGCTATTTTTTGGTACCAATAACTCAATTTTCGCATTTTTTCTATTTTTTTTTTTACTCCGTGCTCCGAGCTTGGACGACTTCTTAAAAACACTTGAAATTTTGGAGTTTCCAGACATAATGGAGAGACATGGTGCTTACAGAGCTCACAGAGAATGTAAACAAACTGGGTGGGGGAAGCCATATAGCGAGTTTTGATCATAATTTGAAATGTCCGTATTAGCGGAAACCTGTAAAGCGGGGCCCTACTGTATGTATTTTCAATCAGATTAATATTGACATTTGTAAGAAAGAATGAATATGCATTTTTGGGTGAGGAAATCCAACTACGTGATTTTGAGCAACATCCTAAAGTTAGTTTTCAAGACAAAAGAAAATGAACAAAGCAAAACAATTTGTGAATCAACCTATTCATGACATGCCCTGAAAGAAAGAAAAAAAGGTACTGTATAATCAAATCCCTTGAATTATGAAGCTCATAAATTTGGCAGATCATCTGACCAGTTTTTCTACTCTACATGATTGACAAATAATTTTGGTAGTGTATTCTGATTCATGTTATTTTAGGGTCCTCCTCCTAGCATTTAGGTATTAGCATTTTTACAATGCCCATTTGTTTTGATTGTGCACAATCCCTAAACAGATAACCAATCTTAGGCTTTTCTGGAAAATGCACTTGCTGAATTATTTTTATTTTTTTAACACTGGCCATTTCCCACCAAAGTAGGGTGACCCGAATAAGAAGAAACATTTTCACTTGCTTCATCACCATCTTGCCAGAGGCATGCCTATTTTACAGCTGAGATGCCCCTCCAAACTGCAGTATCCCCACCCCTTCTTAAGGGTGCAGGCACTGTACCTCCTACCTCCAGGACTCAAGTCCAGCTAACTGGTTTTCCTGAATCCCTTCATAAATTTTACTTCGTTCACACTCCAACAGCACATCGTTATAAAAGCCACTTGCTTCCACTCCTATCTAACACTCGTGTGCCAGTTGAACGTCCAAGCCTCTCACGTACAAAACCTTTACCCCCTTTTTCCTTCCTTTTCCTAAAATGATCCCTACCATTCTTTCCCTCTGATGGATTTATATTTCCTCCAAGTCATCCTATTTTTGTCCATCCCCTCAAAATGTCCAGCAATCCCTCCTCCAGCCATCTGGATAATACTTTTATTGTAATGCTGTACCTCCTAACCTCCAGACTATGAATTCTCTTCATAATATTCACATTACACATTATCCTCACACCATTTATCACATATATTTCCACTGCTTCCAGCCTCCTTGCTGTAAAGGTTAACACCCATGTAGGAGTGTTGGTACCATTATATTCTTGATAGTTCCCTTTTTGCCTCCATGAATAATGTTTTGTCTCCACAGATGCCTCAGTGCACTACCTACTGTTTTTACCCTCACCACTTCTGTGGTTCACCTCATCTTTCATAGACCCGTCCACTGACAAGTCTTCTCCCAAATATCTTAACACATTCACTTTTCCATACTCCTTTTCAGTCTGACATCCAATCTTTCATTGCCTAAATTTTTTGTTGGATTTTGTTGAAAATACTACCACTAAATTTCCCAGGCTTAAATCACACTGGAGATTTCTTATGACTGTCAATATTAATGAAGCTAGTGCAGTTTTTCAAGAGATGGCTTTTGGAACCAATATGAGCACAAATCTTAATTAAATGAACACCATTTAGTACTGTAGTACAGTAATGTCTTTGCTGTTTCTGAATTTCCTGCAGCCTCTAGGAACAGTGCCAGTATTAACCTGTAGTTATATAGCTAGTTTTGCCTAAGCTATTGATGTCTACTAAAACTTGTAAAAATCTTTAAACAGCATTTTTATGGTACATGGCTAGACCCTGGAGTACTTGGACCTCCACCCACTGCATATATATATGAACAAAGTGTTGCCAAGCAGGAAATGTTCCCAAATGTATCAGTTGCCACTCATAAACTAGAATTTCATACCAGAAAACTGTTTAACAGGGTCTGCATGTAGAGGACAATGTAATTTTATGCAGTATGTATATTTTAAATTATTTAGTACTTTTATTGGTTGACTATATGAAGTGATTTCCACTGCTCTTTATGCTGTTAGATACATTTCTACATGCTGATTCTAATGTTAGATTGCCATCTTTATTCACAGTGCCAACACAGAAGTTAAAAGTGAATGCTCTGGAAAGACTGCAAAAGAAGTGAAGTCGCCCATAAAGGAAGTAGAAGCAAACTCCAGAGTTAAAGCAAATGGTGAAGAGCCAGAGATATCCAAAGAAAAAGAGGAAAAAGAGGAGAAGAAAGTAGTGGACAAGGGAAATGAAGAAAAGGAAAAACCAGGAACTCCAATGGACAGCAGTAAAGAAAACAAAGAGGAGGTAGTAGAAAAAACTAAAAAAGCAGATAATGCAGAAAAGTCAAAAGAATCTGTACAGAAAGATGAAGCTGTAGAAAAGCTAGAGAAGTCTGAAGGCCCAAACAAGCTGGAAAACACACAGGAAACAGAAACTCCAGAACAAGTGGAAACAGCAGAAAAGCCAGAGGTGGAGACAGAAGAGAGAGAAAAAAGTGTAAAAATAGATATGGTAGAGAAAATAGATAAAACTAGCAAGACTGAATGTCTGGAAATGAGAGAAGAGTCTGAAAGTGTTGAAATGGCAGAAAAATCTGAATGTGTTGAAATGGCAGAGAAGTCTGAAAGTGTTGAAATGGCAGAGAAGTCTGAAAGTGTTGAAATGGCAGAGAAGTCTGAATGTGTTGAAATGGCAGAGAAGTCTGAATGTGTTGAAATGGCAGAGAAGTCTGAATGTGTTGAAATGGCAGAGAAGTCTGAAAGTGTTGAAATGGCAGAAAAGTCTGAAAGTGTTGAAATGGCAGAAAAGTCTGAAAGTGTTGAAATGGCAGAAAAGTCTGAAAGTGTTGAAATGGCAGAAAAGTCTGAAAGTGTTGAAATGGCAGAAAAGTCTGAAAGTGTTGAAATGGCAGAAAAGTCTGAAAGTGTTGAAATGGCAGAAAAGTCTGAAAGTGTTGAAATGGCAGAGAAGTCGGAAAGTGTTGAAATGGCAGAGAAGTCTGAAAGTGTTGAAATGGCAGAGAAGTCTGCAAGTGTTGAAACTGCAGGGAAGTCTGCAAGTGTTGAAGAAACTGCAGGGAAGTCTGAAAGTATTGAAGAAACTGCAGGGAAGTCTGAAAGTATTGAAGAAACTGCAGGGAAGTCTGAAAGTGTTGAAGAAAACTGCAGGGAAGTCTGAAAGTGTTGAAGAAACTGCAGGGAAGTCTGAAAGTGTTGAAGAAACTGCAGGGAAGTCTGAAAGTGTTGAAGAAACTGCAGGGAAGTCTGAAAGTGTTGAAGAAACTGCAGGGAAGTCTGAAAGTGTTGAAGAAACTGCAGGGAAGTCTGAAAGTGTTGAAGAAACTGCAGGGAAGTCTGAAAGTGTTGAAGAAACTGCAGGGAAGTCTGAAAGTGTTGAAGAAACTGCAGGGAAGTCTGAAAGTGTTGAAGAAACTGCAGGGAAGTCTGAAAGTGTTGAAGAAACTGCAGGGAAGTCTGAAATTGTTGAAGAAACTGCCGGGAAGTCTGCAAGTGTTGAAATTGCAGGGAAGTCTGAAAGTGTGGAAATTGCAGGGAAGTCTGAAAGTGTTGAAATTGCAGGAAAATCTGAAAGTGTTGAAATTGCAGGGAAGTCTGAAAGTGTTGAAATGACAGATATGTGTGAAGATGTTGAAATGGCAGACAAATCTGAAAATGCTGAAGGGACTGATAGGTCTGAAAATGCTGAAGCAACTGATAGGCCTGAAAATGCTGAAGCAACCGATAGGTCTGAAAATGCTGAAGCAACTGATAGGCCTGAAAATGCTGAAGCAACCAATAGGTCTGAAAGGGCTAAAGCTACCAATAAGTCTGAAAATGTTGAGACCACAGATAAATCTCAGAAGGCAGAGACTGGAAAAGTAGATGTCCCGGAGAACAGAGAAAAGCCAAATGCGCCAGAAAATACAGACAACACAGATGTACAGGACAGTGACAAAACAGAAAAGCTAGAAAAAATGGATAAGACAAATGATCCGGAAAAGACAGACAAAACAGAAGAACTAAAGAAAACTAACGTGTTAGAAGAGTCAAAAATAATGAGAGAGACGGATGAGGCAGAAGATTTGGAAAAATTCGGAAAGACTGACAAGGCAGAGTCCACAACAGGGGAGCCAAGAAAGGAAGAGAAGCCAAAAGGGGGTGTGGAGAAAGTAAAGACAGAAGACTCGGAGGAAGAAAAAACTGGTGTAGCTGTAGAAGAAAGAAGCAGGCAAACTAAAGATGTATCAGAGGACAAAAGCGGATCTACAGTGGAAGCAATGGAGACAAATGAAGATGAAGAGAAGGTTTGTGCTTGATAGGAATTGTCATGGCATATTATGTACCAATATTTTGAAGAATTAATTTAAAAATGCAGTTTTAAAAAATAAAGCAATCCTTTATTTCATCTGTTAGGAAAGTGCCGACTCAGCAATGACGAATGGACATAGTGAAGAGACGAATGGTGTTGCTAATGGTGATTCTGGTAAGTTGTGTAAATTGAAGTGTTTAGAGTAGGGTATTTTGAAAACAACTTGTCAAGAGATAAAGATATGTTCTCAGAATTGTTTGTGATAATCAAAACTGCCTCCTGGCATTCTTGTTTCCTAGGCATTCAGGTCTTATTGTAAGTACCTAAGCTGTCATTTATTTCCACTCCCTTATCCAAATTGTTCCACTTTTCAGTTATCCTTATGGCTCTTTAGCTTCCAACAGTATCTCTTTGTTTTTGGCCCCTTAACCCTTGACTGTCACAACCCCCAATCCTGAGGTGTCTCCTGGTGTCGCAAAATTTAAAAAAAAAATTATTTTTTTTCTTATGAAATGATAGAGAATCTTTTCCCGATTGTAATGACACCAAAAACACGAAATTTGATGGAAAATTGACGGAATTATGCTCTCGTGAGGTTAGCGACCTCGGCGATATTTACAAATCGGCGATTTCGCCCACTTTGAGCCCTATTTTTGGCTAATTCCGTTGTTCCAGTCGACCAAACTCATAGCTATTTCTTTAGAACTCCATTTTTTCTATCGATTGAGTACAGAAACTGCCCATTTACCGATTTCAACTACCCAATAATGTGGTCAGAAATTTGCAATTTGGCCAATTTCACGAAAATTAAAAAATATGACAATTTCAAAATAAGGTCCAAAAATGAACAATGCAGACATTCCTGGCTCTAAAAATAACATTTTCTTTGTTCATCAGTCATGTCTCCAGGCCCCTCTGATATTACTCTTGCTTTCTGTTTTGAATTTTTATTCAAACAAAAAATGGAAGACATTATTATGCAGACTACTGCAATACTGTAATAATTGTATAAATAACATCAACCCATTCATGACTGCATATTAGAATGGCTAGTTGGACATTTATTGGACAATGACATCATTTGTTTACTTTTGAACATTGGCAAAAATCAAACAAAAATCTTTTTATAGTAAAATCAATCAAAATCACCTCTATTTCTATAATATGTTTTCCATTCTATCAAATGAGACCAAGAAAATGAGAATACAACCATAAATACTATACGAAAATAGACCACAAAGTCTGCATTTTAATTAAAAAAAAAACGGAGTTTTTTTTTTCTCATTATGCACTGCGTGCTCCAGGATTTTTTTCATATGGTGCACACTGACCACACAGACCCATTCTCTCACATGTGGGCCTACCAGCTTTCTCCTGCTTGATTTGAAGCCGCTAGAATTTATGAGTATATATATGTCAAACACGGTACCTCGTAAGACGTATATATACGGCCGCGACAGTCAAAGGGTTAATTCACTCTTATCTGCTGTATCAATCCCTTTAAAAGTTTGGTACATATACTTCTCACTTGGTCATCGGGCAAGGATGTTCGGTTCAATGTTTTCAGATGTGGGTAACTGGGACACATTTTCATGTTTTAGGAATGAAAAGTAGATATAAAAATTAATGAAACTGAATTTTTAATGTGCCTTCACTTTGCCTTTGTTGTTTAACCCTTTCACTGTTGAGACCTCCAGAATTAACCCTTTGACTGTCACAACCCCCAATCCTGAGGTGCCTCCTGGTGTTGCAAAATTTAAAAAAAAAAAAATTATTTTTTTCTTATGAAATGATAGAGAATCTTTTCCCCATTGTAATGACACCAAAAAAAAAAAAAAAAAAAAATTGATGGAAAACTGACGGAATTATGCTCTCGAGAAGTTAGCGACCTCGGCACTGTTTACAAATTGGCTATTTCGCCCACTTTGTGCCCTATTTTCAGCTAATTCCATTGTTCCAGTTGCCCAAACTCATAGCTATTTCTTTAGAACTCCATTTTTTCTATCGATTGAGTACAAGAAACTGTCCATTTACCGATTAACTACCTAATAATGTGGTTAGAAATTTGCAATTTGGCCAATTTCACGAAAACTAAAAAATATGACAATTTCAAAATAAGGTCCAGAATGAACAATGCAGACATTCCTGGCTCTAAAATAACAATTTCTTTGTTCATCAGTCATGTCTCCAGGCCCCTCTGATGTTACACTTGCTTTCTATTTTGAATTTTTATTCAAACAAAAAATAGAAGACTTACTATTATGCAGACTACTGCAGCACTGTAATAATTGTATAAATAACATAAACCCATTCATGACTGCATATTAGAATGGCTAGTTGGACATTTATTGGACAATGGCATTATTTGTTTACTTTTGAACATTGGCAAAAATCAAACATTTCCCCCTACTTTGAGCTCCACTTCTAGGTTCTTTTTATAGTAAAATCAATCAAAATCACCTCTATTTCTATAATATGTTTTTCATTCTATCAAATGAGACCAAGAAAACGAGAATACAGCCATAAATACTATACGAAAATAGACCACAAAGTCGGCATTTTAATTAAAAAAAAAAAGGTCGGAGTTTTTTTTTTCTCATTATGCACTGCGTGCTCCAGGATTTTTTTTAAATGGTGCACACTGACCACACAGACCCATTCTCTCACATGTGGGCCTACCTGCTTTCTCCTGCTTGATTTGAAGCCGCTAGAATTTATGAGTATATATACGTCAATCACGGTACCTCGTAAGATGTATATATACGGCCGCGACAGTCAAAGGGTTAATGTAGTTCCTTGTTGCAACAAGGAGGCAGAGATGTGTCTGAGGATAACTTGTGGTGTGAATATTATGCAGAGAATTCATACTTGGAGATTAGGAGGTGTGGGGTTACTACTAGTATTATCCAGAGGGCTGAAGAGGGGTTGTTGAGGTGGTTTGGACATTTAGATGGGACATAACAAATTAGGATGACTTGGAAGGCATATAAATATGTAGTGGAGGGAAGATGGGGGTAGGGGTCATCCTAGGAAAGGTTGTAGGGAGGGGGGATGAGGAGGTTTTGTGCGTGTGTGAGAAGCTTAGACATCCAGCAAGCGTATTAGGAGTGAAGGCAAGTGGTTTTCATGACCTGATGTGCTGTTGGAGTGTGAGCAAGGTAACATGTATGAAGGTATTCAGGGACACTGGTTAGCTACATTTGTGTCCTGGTGGTGGGAAGTACAGTGCCTGCACTCTTGAAAGATGGGTGGGGATATTTGCAGTTTTGAACTGTAGTATCCTTGCCCCTGTGGCAGGACAATGATGGAGTGAATGTCAATATTTTTTTTTTTTTGGCGAGGGGGGGGGGCTACTTTGGTGGGAGACGGCCTGCACTCTGAAGGAGGGGTTTGGGATATTTGCTGTTTAGAGGGGGCATCTAAACTGTCGTATCTGCATGCCTCTGTTAAGACTGATAGTGTAAATGATGGTGAAAGTGTTTTGTTTTGGTCTTCTACTTTGCAGGCTATGGATTCTCTGTATTATGCACATTGACCTTAGACATGGCATCTACACTGCCTCCATCCTTCTTGTTTCAGCGTGATTCACACCCATATAAGAGTGTTAGTATAATTATTCTCTCATAAATTCCCCTTTTTGCTTCCATGGATAACATTCTTTGTCTCCAGCCTCCTCGGTACTCCACTCGCCTTTTTACCCTGATCAGTTCTGTGATTCACCTCATCTTTCATAGACCCATCTGCTGACAAAGTCCACTCCCAGATTTTTTTTTTTTCAGCAAGTCGGCCGTCTCCCACCGAGGCAGGGTGACCCAAAATGAAAAAATCCCCAAAAAGAAAATACTTTCATCATCATTCAACACTTTCACCTCACTCACACATAATCACTGTTTTTGCAGAGGTGCTCAGAACACAACAGCTTAGAAGCATATACGTATGAAGATACACAACATATCCCTCCAAACTGCTAATATCCCAAAACCCCTCCTTTAGAGTGCAGGCATTGTACTTCCCATTTCCAGGACTCAAGTCCGAATATATTCACTTCCTCCATACTCCCTTCCTCCAGTGTGACATCCAGTCTTTCATTACCTAAATTTTTTGTCATCTTTATCACCTTGCTTTTTCCTACGTTCACTTTTAAGTTCCTTCTTTTACATACCCTTCCAAACTCGTTCACTAACCTCTGCAACTTACCTTCAGAGTCTCCCAAAAGCAGTGTCATCAGCAAAAAAAGCAACTGTGACAACTCAAACTTTATTAGTTTCTTTCATCTCTTAACCTTACTTTTATGGTCGGTCCCATAGTACTACAGCTTTGAAGCCCGGGTTGGTCCCGTATTTCTTCGCCATGAGCTCAGCTCATTCAGATAAGCCGTGTGCGGTAAATTTGGGCCTAGATATGAGGGAATGGGTCTGTGTGGTAAGTGTGCACCTTATAAAAAAAAATTCCTGCAGCAGGCAGTGCATAATGGAAAAACTGCAACTGTATTTTTGATTTACAACAGCAACTTTGTTGTACTTGTGGTCTCATATGATAGAATGGAAGATATATTGAAATGCTGTACAGGAAATAACTGAAATACTGTACAGTAAATAAAAATTTAACTGCCTCTTACCTGTCAGAGGAGAGCTAATGGCATACTGGATGCAGGAGGGTGGGGGGGGGGAAGGGGGTATGTTACTGCTTGGAAGGAGTGCCTCCTATTAATATGTCGGGCAGCTGTCCTTCTGGTGTTGTTTCTCTTCTTTGTCTCTTTTCACCACTAGCATCTTGTTCTGGCTCACTGGTTCTTTGTCTAACTAAAAACCTGTCCAGTGAGATTTGTTTCAGGCTCCATTTGAAAACTTGTCATAATTGAGACATTACACTGTTGTATATGTTGGAGAAACGGATGGCCACTTTGTCTGGATGGTATTTTTCAGCAGACTCTTGCACTTCATGCCATTTACCACACATTTCCTTGACAAGTGCAATGGACACATCATCCCTTCCCTCTTCCTCTGATGACAGTTACTCCCCCTCAATATGTTGCTGCTGCTTCTGAAGGCCTACAAGTTCTTCTGTGGTGAGTTCAGTTCTATGTTTTTCCACCATCTCCTCATCTTCAGCCACCTCTAGACCTAAGGTCTCCCCAGGGGTACAATATCCTCTACTGGCTCAGGCTCGCCTTC